TAGGGGGAGGGGTAATCGAGGAGGCACAGCGACTGGCCACTCAGATGATGCTCGGTCCCTCTGCTACCGGCTGTCCCCTCCCCCATTTGGGGTTCCCTGAAGGCAATAAATAAAGGCCACGCTGGGCTGAAAAGGCCACCCGGTGTTAGATTAGACACACATTGAATTCACCTGGGCTGGCTAGTCCAATGATGACACCTCAAGGCGACGGCCCCTTCACGAAAAAAAAATAAATTAATAAAAATGGTTGAAGCTTCTGTACAAAGCTTATCTACATCACTGTACATACAAAGGGCCTCGCTCCGCTACTTACCAAAATGTGCAAACAAAAATGAGAATGAACCTTCCGCTAGATCATGGAAAGATACACCGCGATATTTTTTGTCTTTTCTTGATGTAGTGAACAGTGGAGCGAGGCCCCTACTTCACAACATGTCACGTAGTAGTTCCTACTGCCGAGGAACTGTTTCTCCTTCTCCTTATCCCTTTCTTTTTTTTTTTTGTTTTAGCCAGTTAAAACCTGAGAGAGGAACTGTTCCTGAGGCAGCACAGGTTGACTACAATCTCAGGAAAAAAAAAAATAATAATAAAAAAAAAAAAATTGATAGAGGAACTGTTCCAAAGGCCAAGCCCCAAAAGTTGCAGCTTTGAAAAAATGGTTGGGGGGGAAACATACTGCCGGTTCAAAAAATGTATAGGAACTTCTCAGGAAGGCATTTACGGACGAACCTGGATGTATCTGACTGCAATTGCGACCAAAATAAGTAAGTAAAAAGGTCCTGTGGTGTGAGTACGCCCCAAGAGCTTTCTGTTTGTTGTCCTACCGTAGCAAGAGTACGTCCTCGTGTGAGCATCGGCCTCGCTGCTCTGCTCACCAAATGTGCAAAATGAGAATGAATCTTCCTCTAAAACATGGAAAGATACACCACCATATTTTTCATCTTTTGTGCATGTGGTGAGTACTCACCAAATGTGCAAAATGAGAATGAATCTTCCGCTAGAACATGGAAAGATACACCACCATTTTTTGTTTATTTATTTATTCAGAATCTTTTGCGCATGTGGTGACTAGTGGTCCTAGTGGAGCACCGCGCTATGCCCTAATATTGGGCGGAGCTCCTCCTCCATCACAACGACAGTAAGGGTCTTGCCGCACGGAACACGAAAGGAAAACGAAACGAGTGCATCTGCCCACGAAGGGTGGCAAAATACACTGGATACTATCTATAGCAAACCGATGAACCTGGCCATTTTCTGGGGGAACATACATTCGTTTCGTTTTTGGTTTCGTGTGCCATGCGGCACCGCCCTAAGGAGCATGAATGTTACTGCACTGACCCGGTGAACTCGCTCTGCTACTAACGCGGGGACTTCGCTGGATGTATCTGACTGCAATGACGACCAGATTCCAGAGCCCATTTGAAAAAGTCCTGGTGTTTTCAGCGGAGACTTCCATGAATGTATCTGACTGCAAAGTCCTGGTGTGAGTTCAGCCTCTTCTGTGCATCGGATGTCCTTTCCTCTCCTAAGGCTGTGTACACGAGTGCATCTGGGCGTCATGGCAGTCAGATACATCCAGGAAAGCAGCGTTCTTTCCTCTCCTCAGGCTGGCTGTACATCATGAGAGGATGATGGAGAAGTGTTTTATCTGCTCTTGAAAACTGCTTTGGGCATCGCCGCACAGCACACAAAACGAAAAACGAAACGAGTGCATCTTCCCACAGAAAATGGACAGGTTCATTGGTTTGCTATAAATAGCAACGAGTGTATCGTGCCACCTTTCCCGGGCAGATGCGCTCATTTGATTTTCATTTCCTGTGCCTTGTGGCCAGCCCCTTTATCTAATCCTGAGAACTGCTTCATCTACTCTCTCCCTACCAACAGAAAAATTGGTCCCACCTGCATATACTCTTCAGGGCCCACCTACATGTACTAGAATTCTAGAACAAAATTCCACTGGAATTACGGTCATTCTTCTGAATATGCCCTCAGAGAGCCCAGAATGATGTACATTCGCCGAAGCAACCATTCTGCTTCTTCGTTCTTTTTTTTTTNTGCTAGAGGTGCTGATACGAGCATCGAGCAGGCACCACTAGCACTCTCGGGGGGGGCTCCATCTATTCGCAGGGAGCAGCACCTGCTGGAAATCAGGTCCAGCGTCCGGTCTGCTTCGTTTGTTTGCTTGTTTGTTTGTTTGTTTGTTTGTTTTCTTTCTTCTTCTTCGTCATCTGATAGCAGCATTGTTTTCTTTGTTCTTCGTCGTCATCTGATAGGTGGAGCTGGATATTTCAACAGTTCATGAGTGTACCAGCTGAGCTAGGCCAGTTGATTGTTTGCTTGTTTTGGGCTGCTGCAGCATTGTTTGTACCATTTTCTCGATTTATGCGTGTCATCCTTGATTGCGCCGTGGCCATGCTCATCAATCTTTCTCCTCTGTATCGTTCCAATTTTAACGGATGTCCCGGAGCCGGAGGACTGCACTGCTTTGTTTGTTCATTTCCCTGTTTCCAGAAATCCTTCAGCAGCATCACAAGTCCTTCTGCTGCTCATACTTACAGAAATCTGTCAGCAGTCGGTTCGCTCCTTCCTTCCCCGCCTTCACCAACCATTGCATCAATTCCACTTCAGTCACCCCTTTGAACTTAGCCAATTGAGGGAACATCTTTTGTAAGTTAGGACGACCGCGTTCCGAGCCCAGACTAGGCCTAGATGGCGGCGGCTGGCAAGCGGGCCTCCTTGCCACCGCGGCATCATCTCCCTCCAGCCTCGTTGCCCGACCGATACCCAACCTTGGGTTCGTACCCCGGTCAGTTCTTCGTCCTTTCGCCTCCTGCCCCTCCCTATCCGCATTGCATTTCTTAATCGATGGATCACCGCCGCCTTTTCCGGACATGTCGCGTGCATCCTTGTTTGCAGCATTTGGCCGATCGCCAGCTCCGGACCCGCAGTCGTCAGAATCCCTTTCGCGTTTGTTAACCCTCCTGCCCCACTTCTTCCGATCCCGCAGTGGTTCTTCGCCACTTGCCGCTGCATCCGCCCAACCTTCTTCCGCGCTCGGCTCCCTCGCACTCTGATCTGGAAGAAGAACAGGCGCAGGGGCAGCCGCTCTCCCATAACCACCACCTCCGCCGGAGCACAGAACCGTTTCCCCCTCCCTAAGCCCGCTGTTCAGAACCGCCATCTCCTTCCCTCTTGTCGAACCGAAGCGCTGTTCATCATCATCAGCAGCAGCAGCAGGAGTTCGCTCCCGTTTGCGGCAATCTTCGCGACCAAACACATCATCATTGCCCTGCAATTTTCCGTTGACATCATCGCTACGATGGCGCAAACCTTCTCCAGCTTGCTTCCGCTGGCGACGGTCTACGACAGCCTCCACTGCTGTGCATGCAGGGTCCACGCTCCTTTTTGATGCTTTCTCCCGCGCCTTTGTGCCGACTATCTTGTCAGCCCGGTGCATGTAGACGACCCCCGACTGCCGAAGTGCGTCCTCTGACGCCAAGCTCCCGACGTCTGACAAATCCAGTCCCTCACCATGACTCCATTTACTACTCCCATCTCCTGAACCTGGCCCAGAAGTAGGCCCGCCGCATTCTCGGTTGTTGCCATGCATCGCGGCATCATCATCAATTTCGACGCAAACCTCATTCTCCGTGCGGCAGACGTCAGACGTGCCCTCCGGCGGCTTCCTGCCCGCAGCAGTCTCAAGGCGGCGGCCGCTCTCTCCCTTCGACTCGATTTGAACCAGCCTTGCAAGTTCACCCAAGCCATGCTCATCGTCTTCCTCCCCTTCCGCAGGATGCCTGTTTGCGGTAGCGCCATGCGTCAGCACGCCCTTTGCAGGAACGGAGGGCTTGCGGCTTTTCAACACATCATCTATGTTCCTCGAGCCGAGGTCGCTCAGCGCCCTGCATTCTTCTATTCGCCCACCGCTCGCAGCATTTCCTTCGATTATGTCGAAGGTAAAGACCCGGTCCAATAGGTCTTTGAATAAATTCTTGATTCCGAAAAGTTCGCCTTGGTGTTCTTTGCACCCTTGCACGCCCTCAAAGTACCTTGTCTCCCCCTCACCCGTCATAGCCTGGCAACAGACAGACACAAAAACATGCGTCAATGCAACCAACCATCAAACGTCAACCGATCCCAAAAAAGTTGGAAAAAAAAAAATCCTAAAAAAAAAAAAAAAAAAAATAATAAGAAAAAAGAATGAAATGCGGATTTCAATAGACTAATGATCGTTTCTTTCATCAAATGATTGCGTTTCTAATCCGCAATCCCAAAGGCTAAGCTATAATGATTTCCTAAAAAAAAAAAAAAAAAAAAAAAAGTAAAAAAACACAGGAATACCAACGGGCCTACCTCCTTAGCTCAGTTGGTCTCAGTTGGTACACCCCCCCTGAACTGTTGAAATACAGACTCGAGTTCGAATCCTGTCCAGATGCCTTCAGATGAAGAAAATAAATTTAAATCATTCTGAATTGCCTGGGGCCGGACAGTTCAGTGATGATATCTAAAGGTCGTCGCCCTTTTAACAAAACAAAAACAAAAAAAAACAGAGGAACAAACGATGGCCAAGTGGACAAAAGGCATTTAAACTTTAAAGTTTAAAGTTCAAACCACGACCACCTCCGACTCTCCGAGCCTGTTTTTGCCGACCCTGATTTTCACTGCGCGCCGAGTTTTGCCGAGCCTAGCGTTTGCACAGAGCACCATTTCGTTTTTCTTTTCTAGTACTGCTAAAAAAAAACGAAGAAGAAGGGGAAAAAAAAAAAGAAAGCATAGTTTTGCAGGGGTCCCCTCTAGATAGTCTTAGGAGTAGGTGGTGGAAGGTAAAAACAGAAGTTGAGAGAAGAATATAGACAGTTGTGATCACCACAATTAAAAAAAAAAAAAAAAAAAAAAAGAAAGCATCCCTAACGCCGTGATAGCTGTCACATACATTCTATGGAGAGTGCTAGAGTGATTTTGCACTCGGTGAGGGCGTCTGTCAGAAACACAACAGAAGAAGCAAAAAAAAAAAAAAAGCTTGTTGATTTCGTGGTGAGGACAGAATCCGTTTTCTTTTTTTCTTTTTTTTTTCTTTTTTTTTTTTTCTTTTTTTTTTTCATGGCGACAACCTTAGGCTACCAGAGTGGCCCGGGGTCAGTTGCCCGGCCGGACCAAATATATATATATATTTTCGTTTGTTGTCCTCTTCTCCCTCTCTGCCTACGGTTTACCGGGCAGTTCTATTTGACGATATATATATTGTGACGATATATATATCGTCAAATATATCGTCACAAACAGAGAATTGCCCGGTAAACCATAGGCAGAGAGAGAGAAGAGGACAACAAACGAGGGGCTGTGACAAACTGTTTCGTCGGAGTTTATATATATATATTTTAAAATTTTATTTTTTATTCTAAATTTGGTGAAGAATTTCGATGTGACCCTGAGGCAAAAGTTGTTCAGTTTTTTTTTTTTGCATAACATAGTTTGTTTTCGGATTTTTTGGATTTTTTTTTTTTTTTTTTTTTTTGGCTGGGAACTTCCCTGGTCCTTGCACGGGCTGGCCACCAGGGACCCAGGCAGCCCGGCTGGTAGCCTAGACGACGGGTTTCATTACTAAGTGGGTCGGAGTTTCCTAGAAGAAATCTTGCAGGGGCACAGAGAGAGAAAGGAGTAGTGGCAGGTGGTAGGACCATCAGACTAGCGTCTTCACCCGAATAGAACGCCCGGTCATTATCGCTGCATGTGGACTGAAAGTTGGGCCAAAGGCACCTATCACTCATTTTCCTTGCACAAGCTGATAGTCTATGCTCGTGGGGAAAAAAAAAAAAAAAAAAAAAAGATAAAAAGATTAAAAAAAAACAAAGGAAAAAGAGGATGGCCAGCCCTTGCGATCACTGCAAAGCCAGCAGCAACATAAACATAATGCAATTCGATAGATCACAAATTAAATCATCTGTTTTTTTATCTTTTTTTTTTTTTTTTTTTTTAAGTTCCCCCCCCCCCCCCCCCCCCTTTTTTCTGGATTTTAGCCGTTCGCATCAAGGTTTTCCGACCCAGATAATGAGGGCGCGTTCCCAAGGTTGTGATAGAAACTCCCAGTTCACAGGCCAAACCCAGTTTTTTTTTTTTTTTTTTTTTTCCCCCCCAAACTAACCACTTTTGCGGATAGACGAAAAGAGAGAGACATATTAGACTGCTTAGTACAGAGTCTACAGACTATAGGCCTCGCTCCACTACACAACACTCTTTCATGCGTTTGAAGTTTGAACAATTTGTGGACCCGATACATTCAAAATGTTGGACTCGTCCGAATGCACCTGGAGTAGAAAGCGTCCAAATGCATGTAGAGTGCTTTGTAGTGGAGCAGAGAGACAGAGATATTATTAGACTACTCAGTACATACTATAGGCCTCGCTCCACTACACAACATTCTTATTACATGCAATTCGACGCTTTCTGGACCCGATACATCCAAAATGTCGGACTTGTCCGAATGCACCTGGCGCAGAAACCATCCAAATGCATGTAGAGTGTTTTGTAGTGGAGCGAGGCCCTATCTCCCCCCCCAGCAGCACTCACCATTCGAACTGTTGTTCCTTGAAGATCCGTCTCGTGTAGGCCAAGGGGGGTTTTAAAAAAAAAAAAAAAAAAAAAAAAAAAAAAAAAAAAAAAAGGGGTGTGACCCACCCGATACTCAGTTCGCACCCCGACACACAGTTTGCACCCCTAACCCCATAAATTCCAAGCCAAGCACTTATTCTTTTCTTCTTTTCCTTTTTTTCTCTTTTTTTTTTTCTTCTTAAAGCCACACACTTCTAAGGTTGGCAGTGCCGCCGTAGAAAACAAGAAAGGGAGAGACAGGCATACCTGACTCCTATATTCCCCAAGGCGAACTCACCATTTTGAACTGCTGCTGCTTGTAGATCTGTCTTGTGTAGATGAGCTCTTCGAACGAGCCGGCCGCTAGTAGCCGATAAACCGTAACGGGGCGCTGCTGACCCAGTCGAAAGGAGCGATCCTGGGCTTGCAAGTCATAGGTCGGATTCCAATGAGGATCGAAGATTATAACTTTGTTCGCAGCCGTCAGATTGAGGCCCAATCCTCCTGCGGTGGTGGAGATCAAGAAAAGCTGCTGACTTGGGCTGGAATTGAACTGGTTGACCAGAGACTGGCGCGTCGACATCGGTGTCGATCCGTCGAGGCGGGCGTAGCGGTAGCCCCGCCTATCCATCAGCTGCGTCAAAATGTCTAACATCTTGACCGATCGGCTGAACAGCAGTACCTTGTCGTCCTTAGCGAGCCAGTCGTTCAACAGCATGTCAAGGAATAACATCTTCCCGCAGTTGCGGACATTGCTCAGCTCTGGAAACCTACAACCGTCTCCTCCATAATCCCCTGCCTCCGCAAACCTACCCCCCCCCTTTAGCTGCTGCCCGCCTCCCCATCCGTCACAAGGGGGACAACGGGCGTAACCACGATCTTCTTCGCTTCCCAATCCCAGGTCGTTGCCACCCCGCCGCAATGCTTCCTGTCCGCATAACAGCTGCTTGTAATCCCTGCCACCGTCGGCGCTACCCCGTCGCAATGCTTCCTGTCCGAATAACAGCTGCTTGTCATCGGTACCTCCACCGTTGCTACCCCGTTGCGAGGCTTCCCGTCCAGAAAACAACCGTTTGTCGTCACTGCCTCCGTCATCGCTACCCCGTCGCGAGGCTTCCTTTCCGGATGACAGCTGTTTGGCGTCAGCCGCGTCACTGCTGCCACTGTCGTCGGTTAAGACGAGCCGAGCAAAAGCGGCATCCTTGGCACGCTTGTCCTCGTCGTCCGCAGGGTTGGGTTTGATGAGTTCCAAGTGGTTGCAGATCTGCAGAAGTTTCGTCAGGCAGGGGAATACCAGACAGTACGGGCACTGGTCGCACCCTTCGGGGCGTCCGCGATGCAGATAAGGCCAGAGGATGTACTCTCCCTCGGCTTCTGTGCCTCTCGGCTTCGACCAGCAACACTTCTCCCGCGTGCGTCGACTTCCGCAGTCGCACTTTTCGTCTTTCCGAACAAGCAACTGAAAGTCGGCGGTTCTGAGCGCTCGTCGGTACGCTCGTTGCTGAACGGGACTCATCACGCAGAAAGCGGCCATCTCCGTCTTCCCCTGGAGCTTGTCGCCTATCGTGCCTTCCTTCGTCCTCCTCAGCATGTGCCCCTTGAGCACTCGAAACAGCTCCGAGCACCTTTTCTCCGCCGTTTTCTGCAGCAGCTGAGGGGCACTCTTCCTCTGCCCCTGCTTCATTGGCATGTCATAGTAATCCCTGAACTCCTTCCTCGACAGGAACAGGTCCGGAGCCACCCAGTTGAAGATGGTGAACAATTCCTCGTACTTGTTCTGCAGGACGGTCCCCGTCAGACCGTATCGCCGGCAGGTAACGATCTTCGAGACCGACTTGTAAATCTCCGAGCTCTGGTTCTTCAACTGATGAGCCTCGTCGACAATCACACAATCCCAGCCAATCTGACACAGCTCTTCATCTCTTGATCGAAATGTCCCGAAACTCGTCAGCATCACCTCCACTTCCCCCGACTGAAGTCTGGACCAGGAAGAATCTCTCCCAGGCCCGTGGTATATTGCCTGCACCACGGCGAGCCCACCAAAATCAATAGCAGAAGAACCATTCCACCGTCCCTGAGCCAAACATGGCTCTGCACTGCAATCTCAAGTCTGGCCCACCCGCCCCACCACGCCCCCCTTTGTGGAAGCAAAAGCTCTTGCTATGTTGTGGAGCAAAAGCTCTTGCTATGCTGTGACATACAAGACAAACACTTTCAGGATCCGTTACCTGTCTCTTTGCGTTTTGGGAAATTTGCGGTCTACCCTTAATCCAAACATGGAAGTTGGTGTTGAAGCTGGAAAAGCGCCCATCTTTTCGTTGTACCCTGGGCCCCACCCAGCTTTGAGTTGTGCCCTAATTTCCCCTTCCCATCTCTTCAGTATGCTGGTTGCGACAGCCCAATAATTCAGGCCCCCACAATTTGTAGTTGTACCCACAAAGTGGGCATGCACAATTGCGCACGTGCCCACACGGACATACGCACATGCGCACACACACACACACACACACACACACACACACACACACACACACACACACACACACACACACACACACACACACACACCAAAAGAAAAAGAAGAGTGAAGGAAAAAAAACATACTCCACCCCACATACCAAAAGAAAACAGGGGGGAAAAAAAAAAAAAAAACAGAAAAAGGATGAGCATCTGCATCCAAGGCAGTCCCGCAGCGCAACTCCCCATGCATGCAGCTTTCTGTTCTCGACTCTGATCAGGAATAAAACGTGTATTTCAGGAAAAACAAATGTAATGAAACCAACTTCACAAAATTCAGACATCAACTGCATTAATGAACTCACGGTGCTCAAAGACCCATTGTCTCTGCATCTGGACCGAAAGCTGCCCCAAATACAGCTATAATGCCCGGTCATTGTCTCTGCATCTGGACTGAAAGTTTCCCCAAATACAGCTTTAACGACCAGTGCGTTCTATGCAGGTGAAGACAGTAGCGCCAAGATAAACGAAGAAGAAGAGTGGGAGTACGAGTTCAAACTCGTATATCTGCATCTTCCCCTGAAGAGAACACATGGTCATTACCAATCGGGCCTAGCTCAGTCGGTACACCGTTGACCTGTTGAAATACAGACCCGAGTTTGAATCCAGATGCAATCAGATGAACAGAACAAAACAATTCTGAATTACCCCGGGCTGGTCAGTTTTGATGATATCTCAAGACCTCGTGGCTCTTTTCAAAATAAAAAAATAAAAAAAATGTATGGTCATTATCGTCCTATCTCCACTGAAAGTTAACCCTAACAGACTTAAGTTCGAATCCGCATCGACGGGCCTAGCTCAGTTGGTACATCGACGAACTGTTGAAACACAGACCCAAGTTCGAATCCAGGTACGATCAGATGCCACCAGAATAAAATCACACTGAATTACCTGGTGCATCTGATCGTACCTGGATTCGAACTTGGGTCATCGGTTCCATGATGATATCTCAAAGTCGTCGCCCTTTTGTAAACCGCTAGTACCTCCGCTAGTCTTCGGAAAATAGCGAGCACTGGCGGTTCTCCCAAACTCCAAAAAAATCGGAGGTCAGCCCCGATGACGGCTGCCGTTGATAAATCTCATCGTCGGCCATCGTTTCGTTTTCGGGCTTGCTTAAAGTTTGAAGGCCCAACCGAGGTCCGCTATTTTCCCACTCTGAGAAAAAAAGAAGAGAAAAAGCCTAGCTCTGTTGGTACACCCCTGAATGAACTGTTGAAATACAGACCAGGTGCGGAGTTCGAACTCCACGGGAAGCAGAGGAGTGACATACTGTAGCTCTGAATCACCTGGGGCTGGTCAGTTC